TTTCGCAGGTCGGGCCGGGACTCTAGTCTCCACTTGAACACCCGCAGCCTCCCGGTATCTGACTGCCGGCATTAAGATGGGGGAGGAGACGGTTCACAAAACCTCCTTTATGATAATGCCGATATATACCGGCACATACCCCAAGCCTACTTTCCGCATGAAATTAAATTACGGTATCATACTCCGCGCACTTTGATCGCAATCTACCCGTATCGGTCCTGTACCGGGCCCGGTGTGCTATGGCTAATTACAAGCCTGACACCGACAGTAGTCTATCTATTATTATCAAGCTGTTAGAGACGTAGCACCGGTAGGTGTATTCCCAGGTTTGGCACTCTACCCGAGTAGTTCTTACGCAATCTCGGAAAGAGCATTGACACCAGTGCGAAGGAGCCACATAAGATGCGAAAGCCTCACTCAACCCAATTTTCCGCCAATCTTCCCTTGTTTCCGCCCTGTATACAAACACAACAATACCACTGCTACTGGGATAGAATGGGAAAATCAGGTATATCCAAACCAAGGCGCCGGTACTTTCCTCTTGATATCTTTCTGTGCGAAAAAATAGGTGTGGATCCTGCAAACCTGCATCTCTCTCCCCCCATCCATAGCTCCCCTATCCGTGATAACACTTATCAATAAATTCACTTTGCAGCGGCCCCTCACGCCTCAAACCCGTACGATACAAATACGAGTACTGTACAACTAGAACCTCTTCCCGCCCCGGTCACCAAGTAATCACTCAGTTAATAGCTTTATATTAGGGAACCGTGCAACATACCCTCTCCCCCCGACATATGCCTGGGGACAAGCCACCCACGGGGCCCACCACTCTGGCCTAGGTATCTTTCCCTACCACGCTGCCCCTACCGTCCGTCGCCGAAGGCAGATGGACCGGGTCTTTGGACCGGCAGCCCGGAATTCCGCGTGCATCCACTTTAATGCGGCGAATGCGGAAAGGCACTGAGGGCCCACACAGTAGCTTGACAAATACCAAATTCGTGAGGATTCTAGGTACGCTGTGCTCCGTCGGAGATCTCGAGAATTATGGCCATCCTTTCCGATCCAAAATGGCTCTTCGTTATCCCGCATTAGAAATCTGCATCCAACTTTCCAGTAAAATACCGTATATTACACCTCAAAAACATGCTCGGAACTCTAGGATGAGTCGTACAATAATCCTATAGTTCAACGAAGGCCAGCCCATCACCGGGAGGAGATGCTTGATGGAGAGCTTGTCTACTCTTACGTGTGAAATCTCATCCCTCTGTTTGTTAACAAATATGATAGAGTGTTCAAAAAAGCTGGGAACTACCTCTGTGTGATTTTGTATGATACACTGGACACTAGTGACCTCCTTCTGCATTGATTATAATCCCCTTCAACCACAATTTTGTTTGTGCATCCAAAAAACGGTGAGGTACAGTATGGTCATAAACCCATTCTCCTGCCCGCGCTCTAAACTAACGGAAAAGACTGTAGTATAAAAAGGCATAAAGTTATTCAAAGGCATTCCGATCATTCCACGGATAGCACACATATCTCCGCACTTCCATACATGTCCGTCCCTCCACGCGCTTGTGTGAGAACAAGGGAGAAAACATACCTAGGGAACCTCCTCCCTGCAATTACTGGTAAATCCAAACCCTCAACCATGAAGTCCCGCTGCATCGCCAGCACCCAGAACGACGACCGCTAGCATGAAAAACCGCCCTTGAACTGTCCAAACCCACCAACTCGATAGAGACCACTCAATAAATGATGAGTGCTCGCTATGCCGGGGGATTTCTGTGCACGGAGACACTGCACGGCACTACTCCTGCTCTCGTGATCAACCACCACCCACGGACACCTTCGAACAACACGACCAGATATCAGCAGGCTACTCTATACAGTAAGCCTATCCTACCCTTTCTCCCCCATAGAATTGACGGCAAAAGCAAGAGAACCCAATATTTCACAAGCACCCGACATTCCTAACATACTCGAGTACAGCTTGCCAATTGCAAGAGAAACCTTCAAAAGACTATTGGGCAGTACCATTCTCCCTTCAGTGCTTCGCTGCTTGGGAACCCCACAACCTGGCAGCGCCACCCCATAAGCCCGTACGACACGAGTAGTAGTGGCTCCTACCATGATTCCGATTCACAAGTCCCGGTAATCCATTACCCAATGCTGCCAAATCTGGGAGCCCGCATATCCTGACGCCTTTACCGAGGTCAGGGAGAGAAGCAGAGCATTCCCATTGGCGGCTGTCGCGATAGACAGTATCCAAAACCCAACAACTACCAGTAGCTTAAAAGTCTCAGTTTCATCGTCGCACCTGCCGTGATTATCATTATTCTTGTAGGATACAATGTGTCCTACCCCTGATATCGCTACCCCCCAAGGTCCCGGAAAGGTTCTGATGGGTAGCGGTTCATCGGGGGATGTAGAATTGTATCAAGGAAAGGGTTGGGGATATGTCAGTGAATTAAGATGAGCGGCAGGAGAATGCTGCACTCAACTCCGGTCATGTGTGTTTCAGAGAGAGTAGAGCAATATCTGCACCCAATGGCGATACCGGTTGCAGCTAGACTTGTGGCTCGATTCTCCCGATTACCGGTATGATGACCAGCCATGCTGTGGCCTGACGATACCCAGCAGTCCATAGCGGAATGCTTCAGTAATGCCCCCACCTATCGATACGCTATCTGCCATCAGATGTGTCGCCAACAAACAAAGATCGACGGCCCACCTTAACTTATCACCGCACGGTACTCGTACTTACCACCACCACCGCTACCGCCATTATCATCACCGCTACCATCATCACCACCACCCCTACACTCACACATACCCATGCCATATATCCCACCAATCACAGCCCCACCCAAACCCCATCCAGCAGCACCGAGCCACCCACGTTAAATCAGACATCTCCAGGGCACTAACGAACGAACACCAACACAGGTTACGAGCACTCCCAGACCGGTATGGCATTGAAAAGCTTTTTGCCGGGCCCCTGGTCGATAAATGCTTGGGGTGGTTAACAAGCGCTCTCCCGTCAACAACCAAAAACTCTGCAGATGTGTATCATAGAGTTCATACCATAGCCAATATCGGCAACCAATCAGATAATAGCTAAGGAACACAAAGGAAGTTTACCAACCCCTTCAGCCACCCACGTCCCAGAACCTGATAGACTAGGGGCGGCAGGAATTTCCAAAGCCCCGCGGGTCCCTGTTACACTCGTGCCGACGCTCGAGTAGATGATAGAAGAAGAAAAACGGAAAACCATTAACAGGACGAGCACCAAAGAGGAACCGGGGGGTACTAGTGTAATGCCCATGTCTACAGCACGCCATCGGTGGACCATTTTTCATCACTGCATGGTCTCCCATCTTAGGAGGCCACCACAAAATTCCACGAGACCCTGGTCTACCTACCAGCACTGTAATCGATCGAAACGAATTCGACACAATTCAATTGTCATGATACCGGTACTGCACTGTACTTGTAACCCCGCACTTACCACACTGAACCGAATCGCAGCCCTGCCAGACCGTTATTCACCAGGAGAGGTTCATCGTGAACACTTCCACAACAGCACAAGATATATACCCTGCCAGCCAAAAAAAAAAAAAAAAAAAAGTCAGAGTCCGTTCTGTGGTCCATACCCATACTCCCCGATCCACTTATAACAAGTCACGCACTGTACGGCACGTACCGGCATCGGGCGAGGGGGAAGCCGAGGAAACCCTATTTGTCCGAAAATATCATATCATACGCCATTGAAGTTCAAGTCACAAGCACTCAACAGAAGGACCCTTCAACCCCTCCGCTACCAAACAAACACCCCATCATCCCCACCGTTACTTCAGCTAGCACCCAACCGTCCTCGAGTACAGTACAGTACAGCACCGGCATCATAACTCGTAAACTATCAGTCTCCCAAGTTGGGGGCGGGGGGAAGTGGTGGGGAGAAAGTTGAAAAAGAAAAAAAAAGAAAACAACAACGCATCAAACATCAACCACCACCACCACCACTACACCTTTTCACCTTTTCCTATCATACCAGTGCTCGAGTACGGTACGGTGCTTGTACGGTACAATAACGTAGCATATCATACTCCCCCCCCATGACGCCATATCTCACGTCAGCCGCAGTAATAATCACGAAGGCTCACTCGAGAACTGCTCCTCCTCCTCCTTCTCCTCCTCCTCCCCGCCTGCAACCCATACTCGAGTACCGTAGGCTACGGAGCAACCTACAGGAGGCGGAAAAGTGCAGTTACCGCCGGCGCCGGCGACTCTACTGCGCGTCCCGGAGGCTAACTTCACCTAAGAAAATCGTAATTATCATGCGCAGCGCAGTCGGGATAGCACAGTATGGTACGGTACACCATCCCCTACAGGAGGAAAGAGAACCATCCAGAAATTGACCTCTACACCGCACCAATAAAATACAAACATCGTGACAGAGTTCATAGCGCCATGTGACTCCCAGATTATACAATACAACACCATTCATTCATACATACAACACCGCCATCTCGAGCCCCGCCACAACATAACACAACACCACACCTCTCACATTTCCAGAGACGCTTAAAGTGTCGGAAATCAGCTTATCTCTGTTTACATCGTTCGTATCCATGGCAATCTGCAGGTATTACGCTATACTATACTATACTATGCTATGCTATACTGTACTGACGGTACGGTACGAACTGCACGTTAGGATCGTAACTTGTCTCGTACAGCACGGTGCGCATCCGTGATTCAAGTGCAGTTGAGGTTAATTCAACCTCTTCGTTGTTGGTCCTTCCCCTCCCCCTCCCCTCCCCTCCCCCCGCACGGGCGCTACGAGTACGGTACGGTACGTATTATACCGGCGCTTAGTCGGTTTGTTGCTTGATCTATTGTGTGCGATGGGGGCGGCGGTATTCTAGTGGTCCTTGTATTGGGGGCAAAAGAAAGAAATATAGATATGAAAAGCGATCAGGTACCTCTAGAGTAAGGATGAGATAGGAAGCAATTTAATTTTTTTTTAGTTGTACAGTATAATGTGGTAAGTATGCTAGCTAGTTATGACAGTGCGAGTGGTGTGCGCACTCTGAAATGACGTGTGTGGGGAAGCATAAGGAGTGAACGGCTTCCTTCCTCCTCCTCCCCCAACCTCTTACCACTCAAGCATCCGCAACGCTGTAATGACCCCACGCATCCACTCACCCTCTAATTGGAACCACTCAGGATAGCCCTCCCTTCCTTCCCGCCCATCCCCCACTCGCTCATCGCTCCTCGGGCAACCCAGCCTCCGACAGCAAGAAACAAAACATCCCCGCACATCACCATCATCGTCAAAAAAGAAAAAAAAAACAGCATCGCAAAGAGATGTCCGTCCCCCCCCCCTTCCCTTCCCTACACTCCCCGCCGCGGTCCACGGTTCATTGTAATTCCCGAGCCACTAAGTGTAAAGAAAACGAACGTCTCCCGTGTTCGAAGCCGTCATTCCCACCATCCTGCTTCCCTCCCTTCCTTCCTTCCATTTCTTAACCTTCACGCGGCGAGTTAAACTCCAAGCCATTTCCTCAAAAGTGAAAAACCAATCAGTCAACCAATCAATCAAATTTCCTCCATTAAAGTTATCGGGTGGGGAAAAAAAAGAGAGAAGAGAAGAGGGCAAAGGTTTTCCTCAAGTTCCCCTATGTCCGGTGTGCAAGTACTCTCCCCAGGGCCTCCACCCCGCGCCATCGACACTGTTGTTTTCAATGGTCCAGGGCAGGCGCCTTCCGGGATTAGGTTCCGCCTCGTAAGCGCCTTTTGCTGACGCGAGGGCGAAGCGCACGTCCCAGCGAGATAGGTATGCGGCTATCTGGGACTGGCGCTCGCGGATCAGAATTTTGTGATCTGGGGCCTCAAAGGGTGGTGGCGGGGGCGGTGCGGGTGCTGGCTTCGGGGACGCAAGTGGTGGTGGCGATGCCGGGAGGGAGGATTTGTCGTTGTCCTTGTCGTTGTCCTCGTCCTCCTCCACAATAGCGACGATGGTCGATATAGGCGAGCGGCGGGTCTGGATCGGTGCTGGTGGGGGCTGTCGCCCGCAGACCAGTACGGTGGTTCTAGTGGCCGGCGGTGCGGGTGGGGGAGGAGGTGCAGCGGAGGGCTTCAAGATTTGGACTCTCGGAACGGAAGGGGAGTGAGGTGGTGGGACGTAGAGCTGGCGCTGAGTAGCGCCAGGAGGGGCGGTTGTCGACGGAGAGTAGCGGGGAGTATTCGAGTGATTGGTGGTTCCTTGGCGATTGGTGACATCCTGGTCTCCGCTGTTATTATTATTGTTGTGTCTTCTGCCTCCTCTGGGACCGCGACGGCGAGGTGGTTTTGTAGCTGGAGGTGACATGACCGAGTTCATACTTTTGCCGGTGGTAGTGATAATCAGCTATGATAGCAAAGGCGGCCAGGTGGTGGTGGGAGTTGAAGTAGTAGCGGTGGTAGTCGTGGTGGTGGTAGTAGTGGTGGTAGGTCTGCCTCAACACCGTACCGTACAAGCAAAAAAAACTTGGCAGCAGAAAAACTGGCCGACGTTTAGAGAGAAACAGAGACAGTCAAGGCGGTAGAGCGAGGGATTAGGGCCTCCTTCGATTCGATCGCTAAAGGGCACTTTTCCTTGGGGGTAAAATTCTATTCCCTATAATATCCCCCCGTCCAGTCGCTCATTCGTTGGATGCCTAAAGGGTCGGTCGGATGCCTAGGAATTCCCACCCTCGCCGTTTCCCCGCGCGCGGTTAGGGAGGAGTCTTTCGTCTGATGTTTCTTTTTTCCCTTCGGTTCTGTTTCTCTCGGTGGTTGTTTTCTCCCTCCAGCAAAGTCGTGGAATGAATAGAGTTCTCCTGACGATGGTTTGAGGGGGGAGGGGGTGCGATTGAATATGCAGAGGCAGGTCGTTCTCCTGATTATCGTGGTTCGCCTGCGCTAGCCGGTGTTGTCCTCTGGCTTGTCGCCCGGCGACATGTGGTGGCTTGAGCGTCTTGGCGTAGGCAGAAAAACGCAGGTGGGCGTTCAAGGAGGTTTCCTATGAATCATCAACGTATGGAGTTAGAACCCCGGTTCGGCCTTGCAAGTTGATAGGGTCGGCGCGCGATGCCCCGAGTACTTTGGCAATGCGCGATAGGTTGATTTCTATTTTTTTCCCCTCTGCTCTGTGTTGTCCACAAAGGCGTGGGTAGTGGGTGACCTACCTTTTCTCCCGAACCATCGCACCGCGCCCCAGGCCGCAGCGGAGGTTCTGATATGCCTGCATACGGTACTGTACGAGCACTGCAGTAGTTAGTACTCGCACAACCTACCCGCACGGCACGGGTTCTGGAGTGCAACGTTCAAGCCCTTTTGTTGAAGTTAGGCCGGTAACGGCAAGAGCAACTCGGCGGCCTATCGCATCAGGTTAGGGAGTGGTTCTCTCATCTTCTCTTCATCTTCTGGAAGTCTGTCGGCTCCTGCAACTATTATCATGGCGGATCCGCTGTATGAGTACAAGTATTAGGCCAAGTCTGGTCCTCCTTCGTGGCGATTACCATGCTCATGTTCTCGAGCACCGGTACGATATCATACTCGTACCGTACCCTATTCACTGACAAAACCAACCATCGGGGATCGGAGCTTGGCTGATGAGCAAGGGGGCAAACTCAATAAAGCCAAGACATCAAGTGACGGGTAGTGACATGGATATTACGATATTAAACAGCACGGGCAGCACCAGGTTGAAACCAGACTCGTATTTTGCAGAGCGTAATTGAGGTAAGGGCAGACCTGGAAATTGTCGACAGTAAGTCGTGAAGGGATACGAAAACTGTAAACCAAAGCGTGTTGCATGATCCCCCGACGTCCGATGGTGGATTTAGTCAGTAAATGCGGTACCGTATCATACTCGTACAATACGGTATTCCGCGTGGTAGTCTGCCGCGCCGACACCTCCCAGCTTTGGGGCTATGCATAGGGTGTCAAGTGTCAGAAGCCCTTAACCTTTGCACCACAGCCCTGTTCGTAGGCGAACACTTCCGGAACCCGGTACCGTATTGGGTGAGCGTATCGAGAGAGAGAGCCGCCGAACGCTTCCCCGTGCCCATGCATTATTCGCCTATGCGACCTTGTCACAATTTGGACATGCCAATGCGATAGCCCTCTCACCACCAATGTCTCATCAAGTGGGCGAGCGCGGTGATGGAAGAAGAAAAAGGCATAGGGATGGGGGAACTCACCGTGTAAACATTAATGTTATTTTTATTTGTTTGATTCCGTTTTGGCCATTTTTATCGGAATGAGTCAGATATGGACGAGAAACATTCAGCCACAGTATTCACTACCACCTTTGAAAGTCGGTCCCCCCCCCTGCTTGGTGGTCACGATGTCTTCGAGTTGTATCATAGGCTCTTGGTTGGATTGATGATTTACTGCGGAGGCAGGCTCCCGCACCGGTCATGCGGGGATCACAGTATTCACAGCCCAGTGTTTTTGTGATTAAAATAGGGGAGAAAGAGGCGAGCCCTCCGGGGGGTTATCCACCACCACGGTATCAAGCGCAGCCTGGATCCCAAGGCTTGAAGGAGCACACTGCGCTTCCTGGTTGTTGGGAGCAGGTGGACCAAGGCGCCCGAACAGGCGCACGGGTTGATCGAGGGAGATATGGGGGGGAGATTCCATCTGATTCCTCAATACAGCATGCCTCAGGCCACCACTCCCCCAGCCACACCGGTTTTCACTCCTTCTCACTCGAAATTAGAGTTTGCGACGGTTGGGGACACGTTATCCAACCCAATATAAAGCCCTGCCCCGTAGGCGTGTAAACCAGGGCAATTTCGCCCTCACGAAACGCTCCCGGGTGGTTTATTAAAAGGGCATAAAGTGGAGACTGCGTTCTGTCGGACAACCCGATACCACAAGAATGAGATATCCGTCACTCCCTTGAACGAACTATTTTCTTCCAGGCGCTTCCCTCCCTCCTGGGTTACACAATACCCTCAAAAATTCATTTACCGTATATGTTTCCCCTTCGCTGACGCCTTGTGGGTAGTGGACATCTTCTTTCCCAAGCGCTAACCCGGAGGTTGGGAGGGATATGATATAATAGATGGACTTTTATGGGATGACCAATACAGGGGATCGAACCTGGGTCTCCGGCCAGCACCGGAAAGGCCAGAGTGCAAGTGGGTTCCGAAAAAGCATGAAGCTTTTCTCCAAAGCAAATGATTGTATTTGTGTCATCCGAGTGACAAATCTCGCCAATCACTTAGCCATCAGCTGACACCTGCAAGGCCCAAGACCCGGTATCAAGCTGTCAATCCATCGTCGTCACGCTTATGACACCCCGTTGGCTCAATTTCGCCCATGGAGAATCAATTGGGGCCGATGTCCACGAGCGCTCGCACGAGCCGCCCATAACTCCCAAGTAACGAGATTCTGCTCCGTAGGGAGCATGATTTGCTAGAGGGATGGCATAGATCAGGCAAGGATGAATAATCGTTTTGGAAAATTTTCAACGTGCCAACCAAAGGCCTAGTTAACTTCATGCAGAGATACTGTGGCGTTGCGGGAAAGTAGACGGACGAGAATACCGGTACTGTACGGTAGTTAGCCTCATCGAACCAGTTCCCAGCCTTCCTACGTTCCACTCGTGATTCACCCTCCCCTCCTCCAATACCCTGTACTGTCCTTGCGCCCGCGTTCCTTTACCGGTATTTTCTATCCCGGCCCTCTCTGCCTTGTTCTCAAACTCTTCAAAAAATTCTGGAGTAGAGCCTGGTTTACGAACTAGCCATTGTCTTGGCATGAAGATCCAAAGATGATGTGCCGTGTCGGTACCGGTACTCGAGTGCGGTGCATAGGAGAATCTCGCGGGTCCGTGGGCATACAGCTCCTTCCCAGCATTCATCGCTCTTCGTCCCTCACGAAGGACTGAGCTGCGGAACAAGCGACCTCACCTCAAGTGGGTTTAGCATACGGTAGCTAGGGTAGTTTCCTGGTATGATACTGTATTTCTAGGTGCCACCGGCTCCGCCTCGTTTGCCTGACCGAGGTACGGTGCCATACCGGTACCTTACTTGTGCAAAGCCCCACGGTACTGTAGGGTACAGTACTCCGAGAGCACCACCACACAGAACACGGGACCCCCGTACCATGACATCGGCCAACCCAGACCACAACTCAACACAGCGAGGAATTACCGTACACTCCTTCCCGGAAAATGGTCCCTCTTGTCTCGCCGCCAAACCACAAGCCCTCAATTATCACTAACAAGTGGAATTAGGGACCCTTTTGAAGTTTCGTCTGGGGAAAGTGATGAGGGTACCCTCCGGCGCGAGCTAACTTTACGACAGGAGGGAGGGAACCGAGGCGGTATTGTCTCGGGCCATCAGTGCCCGAAAGCATGGGGGGAGCACACCCCGCACGATCGTACTACCGGTAGTGCTCAGGTACGCGCAAATTTTTTGCTATACCATTACGTCTCTCTGATCTTGGTCCTCAGGTACAGTGCTCGTACAGTAACTCTCGCCTAGGACAAATGCCAGATAGAGGTACGGTACTCGAGTGGATACGGTGATGGAAACTACTGTATACTTTCCCGGAACGGGCTGATGCGGGCAGACCCATGCTCAGCTCGAGTGATGGTGTTTATATCTCGACTGCACATCTGGCGGGCTTTCTGCAGTTGGTGTGAGCGGGTTAGGGTCATATCCACAATCACCTGTCACGGTGCGGCGCTGTGCCGTATTCAGGTACCATGATGGTATCATACTAGTGCTATGGGTATCATGTTTTACCGATATGCAGAAGGTGCCTGTCAAAGGCCTACCGTACCGTACCAAAGATATCGAGCGATCATAAAAGCGCCATCCTGAGGGTAGAAGGATTTGCACTTTCTGGTCACGGGGGAAAACCGCAACTTATTTAAGTTCCCAGTGCCCAATCATGATGAGACAAAGTCCTGCATTAGGCGCGCGCAACGCATTCCACAATACTTGGCATACGCTGCTTCAATTCAGGTGCACTTTCGTTAAGCAGTTGGCTACGGTACAGTGCTCGTACAGTACTGGAAAGAGATCGAGCGAGTGCTGTACGGTGCTCCCCAGCAACGGGACGGGACGGACGAAAGGGCGGACGGTCAGGGGGAACAATAGACAGCGCATACAGACGGGAGAGACACCAAAAGTAAAAATTACCCGCCTATCACTACCACCACTGCCTGACTAAAGAGAGCTCTGGCCCAACTCGCCCTTTCTTCCAATTGGATACACGCCCAACCTGCCAGGCGAGAAATAGCGCAATTAAATATATCAAAATACTGCCAGGCACCCGGGCACCGTAGGATATATCCAACTACAATCCTCCATAGGCCGCCACGCCCGGTGTAGCGCGGCCTACGCCCCCCTCGGTACGCGAGCGCTGGGCACTCAGGGCTGAACTTTAATGGTAGTAAATTTACCTAAAGCATGAAACGAGAGGATGATCCGAAACACTCCCTACTAATCAGTTAACAGGATAACGAACGTGACACAATTAGATCACCTAAATGCGAAAGTGAAGTTGAATATATTTTCACTATGCCCTCCGTGCTCTTTACATGGGAAATCCAGTTGGTCTTCTTCCCATAGCCGGTAGTCCCTTTTCTTTTTTTCCCTTCTTTTTTCTTCTTTTTCCCACCTACCGGTAGGTGACTTGACCTTGTGCCTGTTTTTTACCCACTCTATTTACATATCGTAGTTGCAGTCCTGGGAATTCATTCGTTTTTCCTGGTGCATTCTCTCGTACCTTGCGTTAATTGGTTTGAATCCCTTCCTTCTGCGTTCCCCCTAGCCCGCCCTGCACCAGCCGTGTGAGAACAACACTCGAGTACGGTACTGGGACTGACTGTACCAGTACCTGTGCGCTTTTTTTTGTTTTTTTCCTGCCCGAGACCGGGGGAGAGTGGAGGTTCCCGTAGCATTTAGGGTACCAACTGTGCCGGACCCTTTACTTTTTTGGCCTATCAGTTCATTCTAGGGTTCGGTGATTGACTGATTGATTGATAGCTACAGTAGTTGGTGGAATATTGTATCGTACAGTATTCCAATTGCTCCGTGCCTGCCTCCCTGGTGGAACCAGCTACATATCTGTTCTCCCGTGTCTGTCCCTCCAGCTGGCTGGTCTTGCTTTCTTTTTCGAGAGCACTTAATCCCATCAGCTCCGCCAGGCAGGAGATAGAGTCCCATTGAGAACCTCGTTCATTCACTCACTCCCCACAGTAAAGCAGAGCAAAGATGCTGAACCCCTTCCCCCTCCTCCTCATATCAACCCTCCTCTCCAGCACCGCTGCGCTCTCCACAGGTATCAACCGCCGCCATGCCTCCCCACAAAACTCCCAACCCGGTGGCGGTGACGGCGATCCCTACTTCAACAATGACCTCCCGCGCTTCAAAAGGGAAATCCTGGAAGCACACAACGCTCGCCGCAAGGAATTCGGCGTGGCCCCGCTCTCATGGGACAACGAGCTTTGGAAGATGGCCAAGAGCGTGACCAAGACCTGCGTCTTCCAACACTCCGGAGGGCCCTACGGCGAGAACTTGTATGGCAGTAGCGGCGGAAATCCTAAATCTGCAGTGGATGCCTTCGCGGATGAGGTCAAGAACTACAGGGATGACAACCTGATCTGGGATGGGAACTCGCCAAGGACTAAGGATGGGACTGTCATTGGGCATTATACGCAAGTTGCTTGGAAGGACACGGTTAAAGTGGCTTGCGCTACGAGTGATCAGAGGTGTAATTTTCCTGGTGGGGCTATGTGGTAGGTTTTTCCTTGCTTCTCTCCTCTCGTAGGAAATTGGCGAGGGGACATGCTGATTGTATGTGAGTACTCAGGTTCGTCGTATGCGAATACTGGCCACCCGGAAACGTCGGTAGCCCGAATGAAAACCTCTACCAAAAGAACGTCGGCCGCCCAGGGGAAGCGTTCAAGGATCCGGCTAATCTAAAAGTTGACGTGCCGCCATTCAAAGGCAACGGCATCCAGATGCCAGAATCCCTGGCGAACGACCTCACTGGCGGGAGCAATAATAATGTTGGCGGCGGCGGGGGGAATAGTCCGATCTCCGATCCGGGGTCTGGGGAACAGAATCCTCCGCCCCAGCCCCAACCTCCACAGGACGGGAATACGGAGTTTAAGATTGTTACAGTAACAATCACTCGCAGGAGTGAGCCTACCCCTGGCCCAGCGAAGAGGGCGGTGCTTGGGGAATGATGGGATACCGACGGAGTATGCTACTACCACTACTGTCAGGAAGCAGTTTTTTAGGGTGGCGTAATGGATTCACCTGGACGGTTTTAAGTTGAAGGAGTGGAGTTGTTTTTTTGTTCTTATTATTCTCTTGTTCTTAATACTGGATGTGCTTTTGGCTGTGCCGAAATGGCTACGAGGTGACGCACCGCGGACGGGTGATACGAGTGAGAGCTGTATAATATAAAGGGGAGCAATACAATAGTCGAAAGGATTCTAGAAACCAGAATCCAGGTGTACGAGCATTGGATATCATGGAGAGACATGGCGGTCCCACGCCATCTGGAGCTGAACCTCTAAACATAGTACTACAAACGGAAATGCACAGATTATGTGTCTCGGACTATGAAATAGTTCATAATCGATAAGTGCGCTGGGAAGGGCCGGGGGGGGGGGGGACTCTTCCATACCCGGACGCCTTTTTCCAATCCCCGTATGATACTTTGTTACACAATGTTACCCCGGCAGTTCACTACCGTACCCATCGAACCCTATGATTCGACCGCTCACTTCCGGATCCTGCAGTCCACCTCGCGAAAAGGCTTGGCTTTGGATACACCGGTATGATACAGTATCATATCGTACCGATGCCTCAAGCGTGTCTTACCCGTGCCCGTGCTCGGGCCGCCACGCTTCCTCCGGCGGGTTCAGATAAGCTTCACTCACGCGGGAGCTGGTTGGCCTGCTGGCGCTGGTGTGGGGACAGATATTATTTTAGCTGGTTGGTTGGTGCAACGACGGGTGTATACTACGCAATTGGTGCTTCTTTAGCAGTCTACCTACCACGACCAATTGCTCAAATTAACTAGACTTTCGATGCGGTAGTGTGTCTATTTTACTTACATTGGAGATGGATAGTACTTAGATTGATATCAGATGAATTAGAGGTTTATTGATAACCTGCGTGTTGTTTTCCTTTGAATTGTGATATCTGTTATGATACTGTAGATATTTTTACCGTAGATTGTGCAGAAGACGGGTTCTCTAAATATATTTTCTATATCTTGATAAGTACTACTATCTTTCTAAGAATAGTTGGACCTTGCACTCGGACATTAAGATACGTTTGTATGTTCAGAAATTAATGATCTTTGGAAGTTAATGCAGGGATGTAGTCAGAGACTGGTACCTAGACTAAAAACACTCAATAACAGCTTGATTAAAAGCTCGGTCGGTATGGTATTAAGGAGGGGTAACATCGTAAATAAATACTGTATTATTGATATAAAAATATATATCCAAGTTTGAACTTCATCTCCTATCCTATCAGGTAATATTATTAGTATGTACTAACCCCGTGCCAATACCATGACTATTTCGTAACCCGACCTATATTATAATAACATAACTGCAATAGTTTAAAAAATATTAGTATGTATCAGCCCTGATGCTTCTGCACAACAAAAAAAAAGGGGGGGAGGGGGTCCGGATACTATGACAACACATCCTGAAACTCAAGGCCTGATGCACAAGGCACTCAAAAGGCAGATAGCAAATCGGGGCTCGCTGCAAATGTCAGGTAGCCACAGGAAACAGCTGCTATTTCCCCGGATGCACCGGAAGCAAACCCCAACGCCAAGAACCGCGGCAGCACGGCATTTGAAGTGGTGAGAACTAGTCTGGATGTCACCAGAAATTCTCCTCCGGGTCTCAGATGCCGGCAAGGTATCCGTGACGGGCTGGCTTGACCCGAGTGAGGAACCCCTGGAGTGGAGACATGGAATGTGTAACGAGTGTCTTGGCATAGGAGACCTGTGGTTGTGGTCAGGGGACCGAGTGATATCACATGATAGCGAACGGGGGGGAAATAGGTCTGCATACAGCTGCATGTGTGAAGAATTCACCGGGGGATATGATTTTTAGGTTAATAATAGTACAACCCTGTACTAGTTACGGCAGTGGAGTAATGACAACACTGAGTTGCATAGTAGAGTTTTAGTGTCTCTGCACTCTCCACATCCTCTCTAATTCCCTCTATTGATTTCTCCCCTGATCCTTCATCTGGGCATGGGACCTGCGATGCTGGTCTGTTACCTTCACTGACAACCGCATCTTCATGCTCAGAACGAGTGACCGTCTCAATTTCTTGGTCAATCAGCCACCGGGCAATGGGCCATCTTCATTCTTGATTGAGGAAGTTGTAGTTGGGCAGAAGATCCCGTTTTTTCTCTTTTGCAATCTGCCGACACCCCGCTCAAGGGACAGTATCAGCTTCCTTGTTCTGAACGCTTTCTTCTATTCTCCTCACTTTTTTTTAATATCATGTTAATTTTCCACGCTAAACTTTTTCCGAGCGGTTTTTCTAAGATTGAGGTCCTTGGAATGTGCTGGAAAAGGGGGTATAGGAGACCCTGAATTTTCAGAGTGGATCTCTACACCTCAAGTAGTGCAAACCTGAAGGTTCCAAAGCTAGAGGGCTGGAAGTCCTAGACCCGGTAAATATCGGATGTTACACTATGCCTCCCACCCCGCAGGAACTAGTTACGCATATTCTCTCCCGTGTCTCTGGCTCTTCTGCCGGCAGGTCTTGCTCCCATTCTCGTGAGTACTTAATCCTATCACTCCCGTCAGGGAAGAGAGAGAGAGCATTCCCATTGAGGGCCTCTTTCAATTATCATACTCGCTCCCCATAGTAACGCAGAGAAAAGATGCTGAATCCTCTCCCCCTCCTCCTCATATCAACCCTCCTCTCCAGCACCACTGCGTTCTCCATAAATATCAACCGCCGCCATGCCTCCCCACAAAACTCCCAATCCGGCGGAGGGGGTGGTGATCCCTACTTCAACAATGACCTCCCGCGCTTCAAAAGGGAAATCCTGGAAGCACACAACGCTCGCCGCAAGGAATTCGGCGTGGCCCCGCTCTCATGGGACAACGAGCTCTGGAAGATGGCCAAGAGCGTGACCAAGACCTGCGTCTTCCAACACTCCGGAGGGCCCTACGGCGAGAACTTGTATGGTAGCAGTGGCGGGGATCCTAAATCTGCAGTGGATGCCTTCGCGGATGAAGTCAAGAACTACAGGGATGATAATCTGATCTGGAATGGGAACTCGCCAAGTACTAAGGATGGGACTGCCATCGGGCATTATACGCAGGTTGCTTGGAAGGACACGGTTAAAGTGGCTTGCGCTACGAGTGATCAGAGGTGTAATTTTCCTGGTGGGGCTATGTGGTAGGTTTTTCCTTGCTTCTCTCCTCTCGTAGGAAATTGGCGAGGGGACATGCTGATTGTATGTGAGTGCGCAGGTTCGTAGTGTGCGAATACTGGCCGCCCGGAAACTTCGGTAGCCCGAATGAAAACCTCTACCAAAAGAACGTTGGCCGCCCGGGAGAACCTTTCAAGGCGCCCTCCGCAGATGCAAATCCTGTTGTGCCGTCATACAAAGGCAATGACATACAACTACCAGAATCCCTGGCGAACGACCACTAGTCCCAAGATTAAGGGTCGGAAGAGAATTCTTAGGGTAGTGTGATGGATTCGCTTCTTGGATGGCTTTAAGTTGGAGAAGTGGGGGTCTTCTTTCCCCCTTGAGTGGGGCCTGCGAACAGTACTTGGGGGTTGTGATGAGGGTGATACGGGTGAGAGTTATATATAAAATTATATATAAAGAAGAGGAGAGCGGTGCAGCAGCTGGAAAGTTTTTGAAGGCAGAATCCTGATGCGCGAATGTCAGATATCACTAGAGATATGGCATTCCTGGGATATCTGTCTGGAGCTAAATATGCAAACACAATACTGAGGCCAGGGAATCTAGATCGCTTTGTGCCATGAGAAGTGATATTTGACCGGGGAGAAGTGCTCTCGGACTAGGCTACCGTTAGTCTATCATGCCGGTGAACCCCTTGCCAATCCCCGCGCCTTATTACATAGCTTTATCCCCACGCACCCACAACCCGTCATACCCCATGACTTGGCCACACACTACCAGATCATCCAATCTCCCGTAGAAAAAGCTTAACCCTAGATACATCTTCTGTGTCTCGCTCGAACTACGGCACTTCCTCCGGTGAGTTCGAATATATTTCTCTCATGCGGGAGCTGGTTTGTATGTGGGAGTGGTCTCTAAGCAAGGCAAGATAGGATACAACAGAAGCAACTCTAATAACGGTCAATGTATCCCAGTCCCAATAGCATACCAGCCGTGTTCACCGTAGTGTCCGTAATCCAGCGGGGGGGGTATGTGTACAATACAAGTACTCGACACCGGTGAGAACTTTATTGCTACCTTAAAGGCTTGGTAGTAGGTATTCTGGCTGCTGGTCAGGGTGTCTGCGTTGGCCCTGATTATGAGTGGGAAGGCCAAGGTGGGTAAGAATAGGGTGAGGTATTCATACTCGCTTACAATCTGTCTGCTGCCAGCTGCCCTCATAATATTAAAGTATGATACTCGGGTACCGGTATTCTATTATGGACCTACCCGTATGATACTACAGTACAAGGCCGGTAGGGCTGGGCACCTAAACCGACCCTGGTGCTTACGGTTCGCTTAGTAAATTTAATACATACAAAAATTGGTGCATTACCCCAGCAGGACCCTGAAGATCAGTGTGTGTGTCAGGGGTGTCCACCGCTCAGGATAGTGTCGGCCAATACACTCTTAATAAAAAGACTAGAGTTCGTGAATTTAGTTCTGTGGAATAGATGTTGTTGTAGAGGTTTCATTGTTGATTTTCGTCCCAGGAGGCTCTAAGGCGCACCACCCTCTTAACTCAGACGAAGATCCGGGAGGGGAATAATGGACCCTTTGGGAACCTTTTCCGCATGATACTTGAGTATATAATGCCTTCTTGGCAGTTACAAGCAGGAGGCTACCTTACGGGTACTCTAATCGAGCACGTGAAGAGTAGGTGCAACCTTAAACTAACCGATCTTCACTCACACTCCGACCATAATCTACCGGTAAGCACCGCAACCCAACCTCAGCTTTAATATGCATCCCCTGAACGAGATCTGATGTTATCCTGATGGAAGGTCAAATACCATTTCCTTCTTCCCCTTCCTCTCCCTCCTTGTTTTCCTCTTTGTTATTCACCGCTTGCCTGTTATCCGCCACGATGAGAGTGCTGGCAGGATTATCGCTTTTCGGATTAGGGAGTGCCTGCGGAGTTTTGTGAGTACCGGTAGCGTAGAGTAGCTGACCGACCACCCCCCAACCCCCTCTTCCTCCTCTCGTTAACCTCATCCCTGAAAATATCCACCCCTGATCCATTCACCGGATAAACTAACCATCGCCACGGCAATCCCTAGAGTTCACAACGAAGTCTTCCAACGTTCCGCCGACGTATTCACCCTCCCGACTTCGAACGATGACATCTCTGCGCACCAAGGAGTCTTCTCCCGACTGCTAAAGATCCACACAGAGTCTGTGCAGGCAGGCGCCTTCTTCCCGGACTGGGGCTACCAGTGCCTCAACACCAACGACGATGCGGAAGCCGCGCACTGGCCGCCCTTCCTAATCGCTACCGTCGAACACATAAACTCTCGATACGGCAGTCTGACCTCCAAGCAGCGCACGCCGGAGGAGCAGGAGCATCTGGAGAAACTTATTGGGTTTGTATTCGCCGTGGCCAGTCATCAGGTGGCGGACGCGACGTGGCATGCTATCCGCCTCCCCACGGGATTTCTGAGCGCGCTGGCGGGCGTGGACTTTGACGGGGATGAGGCTGCCGCGCATAGGGTTTTGGACCTCGGCGGGGATGTGATACTTTCCTCCAGGATTGCGCGCAACGGGGAGGACGGGAAGGTTTGGATTGGGGATAAGTGGTGGGTTCCTATCGAGGATCTTGTGGCCATTTATTCGCGCATTGGGAGGGATGTTTCGAGCTTTGTTATGAGGTATTGCACTATGCGGGGATTAGCAGCGCTGAGGAGTGGGTTAGCGATTGGGCCCGGTTTGTGAGTGTCCCTGTCAAATTGTTGGTGGGGGTAGTGACTGATCAGGGTAGGTATGATACCGTCGCCTCGGATTCGCCAATGCTCACAGCGGAACTGGACGGGTACTACCTTGGTGGTATCAACGAGATGGCTGCGAGGTCGGTTAGTTGTTGGGCAAATTTGACGAAATGGATCGCTTTCGGGATAGACAAAGAGGAGAAATTAATCAACGGCTGGGGGATTTGCGACGTCTTCCGCGCGATTCGGGCAAGAGGAGGCGCTGGCGGCTCCTTACATGGCAAGCATAGAGAACGGAAGATGGTGGATGAGAAAATGAAAAATTACCCCGGTGGGATAACATTCACGAAGGATGAATTCGGCGCTGAGAGTTATCACGTCCCGGGAATGCATCCTCCCAGTGTGGACGAACCAAAACACCCAGAGCTCAGCCAGGATGCACCAGGGCTCGGCGATCCGAGATATATTTCGGCGTATAAATCCTACTCCCACTTTGGCGCATCGCTATCAATCGGGGAGTTCTCTCCATTTGATGATGGTCAGGCACTCGCAGTAGGTGCGCCCTGGGAAACCACAGACTCTTCGAAGCCAGGGGAAGGGGGCGTCTACATTTTGCCATTAAAAGATTTTGCAAACTCCACCCTCCAATCGGCTCCAGACCTTCTCCCGCTGATCAATCAACCGACTGCGTCCACAGACCAGCGATTCGGAATCTCTTCCACGCCTTGGAGAATAATGAACGCCACATTCTTAGCTGTGGCAGCGGCCGGACCGTTAACCTACGACCCTAGCACGCCCCCGTCACTTCCCTTCCAGGGCACCTCCCCAGCGGGGAAGATCCACGTTTTCCCGAGGGGTAGTGGGTCAAGTCTGTTCTCTATAACCTTCAAGGGCGCAGAACTCGGCAGCATCGGGCAGCGGTGGTGGGGAGAAACCATGCTATCAGCCGATCTCGCTGGCAACGGTGAAGAAAAACTAATAGTCTCGGGCTCACGCAGCGATGGGCTACGCATCTGCGAGGGCAGAGGGAAGGCACAATTGGGCGAGGGTGAAATTGCAATCATTTCCCTGCATCAACCTCCCCCCTCCCCCTCCCCCTCGGACCAGCCCATACACTTGGAATCAAGGGACCGGAGTATAGCCCTAACAGCCACAATCCTCTCCCTCCCAGAAAGTGTGAAAACAACCCCGTGTTCCAAAACTTCCACTTACGAAAATTTTGGCACGGCAATTACCTTTTCCGCACATTCCCGCACCCTCTTCGTTAGTGCGCCGGGAACCTCCAGCGTTTTCGCCTACCGCTGGAACCCGGAATCCTCCTCTCTTGAACACGTATATACAATCCCAGCCCCACGCGCCCCGCGCCCCTTCTCCCCGTCCTCCTCACCCCCTCGGAGCAACTTTGGCGCTGCCGTGACCGCCGGCTTCACTTCGAGTGTAGAATGGCTCGCCATTTCCTCTACAAACGAGGACGTGGACGGCGTCAAGCAATCCGGCATACTTAGAGTGTACACCCTCTCCGAGACCGCCGCGGAACTAGTCGCGGAAGTGGTCCCGGAAAAGATGGGCGCGGAGTGGGCGCGTTTCGGTAAAGTCCTCGCCAAGGACGGGGACAATGGGTTATGGATCGGTAGTGAATTCTGGGATGCGGGACGGGGCGCGGTTTGGTGGGTTGATGTTGGGAAGATACTTGACGGGGACCAGGCAGTCGTGCGTGCTCAGGTTGTACTCAAAGAGCAGGGAGAAGCGGTCAAGAAAATCTCTCTAAAGCCCGTGAGGGTCGGTCAGGAAGCCAACGTATTTCCACCCCTCCCCAGTCACTACTCTTTTACAAATCAAGGGGAACTAAGAGCATTAGGCACGCTTCGCAACATCAATCGTATCCGGCGCCAACGGAGAATTAATCGTCGGAATACCACGCGCGGGTGTTACGCATCCCCTCCAGAAGGAGAGGTTTTTTGGATATGTGGCGCTTTTTTGGAGGGAGTGAGGTATGGGCAGGGAGGGTGGTGTAGGTGTATGGAGGGGGAGATGGATATATTGCAGTTTTTGAAATAGGAATAATGTGATACCTTCGTAATATACAATTTTTAGCTTTCTCTCATTCCCCTCCTTCCTGTTCCGCTGCATGGGCAGGTTGTAAGCCAAGTCGACCCTGAACATCGACCGACAGCCCCACGCCCGACGGGGCAACGGGGTGAAGCACTCACTTACTATACACGGCCTTTGTCAGAAATGGAGGTAACGGGCCCGTATTCTATAAGCCGCTGTTCACCGCTTGAGGCACGAAACAGGAATAAAAGTGACATGCGCGACCTGGATAGAATTGTATAGAATCGGATAGGGATATCATACTATACCTATAGCAGAGTTCTCCGACTAGCCGACCCACCGGACGGACGGACTGGACCGAGGAGGTTCGACAAAAAGAAAGAAAGAAGAAAGAAACGTGACGGGGTTATAATAGGTATGATAGATATTAGATAGAACAAGGGGGGTTCGGGGTTGATCACGAGTGCTCACTCGTACTCCCCCCCCTTTGCGTCCCACAACTGTTGCCTCGTGGCTACCGATGTACGGATACACTAGAACATATCTGAATAGGCTGGGCTATTGGCGGCATGTTATCGGCTAGTCTCCGGCACTGGAATATCGTCAACTGAGCCTCGGGTACAGTATATACGCGATCCATTGGGGTATTGCACTGATTTGTGGGGGTGTATACTGCTAGGACCACGTTATCGGTTTTACCGGCGGTTCCCACAGTAAGAGGTTACTATGTAGTACTAGCATCATGGAGGAGGAGGAGAGAAAGGCTGTGAAGACCGATCCTAGATGCCATTTGCTTTCCTCTTCATCTGTAGCTTTCTCATTTTAACGGATTTGTAACCTAGGCATCATACATTGTATTATATCACGGAATTTGTAAAGGGGCACCGGTATTGGGTCAAGCACGTGACGGGACCTCGGACACTCTGGAGATAAATCACCGGGACTACGGTCCCTTGCAGATTGTAGTGTTGAGTCGTACCGGTATATGTTGGCACTCGGGATGATACAAGGAGGGTGCGGCACACGAGGGGTGTCCTCTTGCCCACCGCGTATGGGCGTGCGGTTGCATACTTGGTGGTCTTAGGCTAGCCTAGAATACGTCGTCTCCCGAAAAATCTTTCCCGAGGCGCACGCCAAACACGTTGGCTGTTCCTCATTTCCTGATCTCTGTGGTGAGCCATGGTTTTTATATTGTTTCTTGAAGGAATATTTTCCTCACCTGGTGCAATCTGTGATGAGCCTGCTGTCCCGGGGGTAGCAATTGCCGCTCATGCATTTACCAGCCTTCCCGTGTAACCAGGATATTTGGCCATCTACACTAGTAATACAAAAATCCTGTGAGTTCCTTACTCGTGCGTAGTTTTGTGGGGGCTGTTTGTTACCTTCTACGCCGATACCATTATTCCGAGCTCTCCGATCACAAGAGGATTGTGCCAGGAGCAAGGGCTTATTGAAATATTGGCGTTTCATTTACTTTCTCGAGGACATGTTCCTTCCACATGCTAGTAGTAGTCGTTCAGGCCTCCGTGCGGTCTTGGGTCCTTCCGCATTCGCGGGGTAATCGGTGCTACCAACAGGCGTTAAAGTTGATGCGCACAGTGTCCTACAGTTACTCGAGTACCGTAGTGGGATGGCACAAGCTCTTCCATCAATACATGGTCCATCTTCTGGAAGCGGGGGCCAGCAGGGTATCTGCGAAACGGTGGGTTTTAATAGCTCTTGTGGGATCTAGGTTAGCGATAAATTACCAGCAAGGGAACAAGGTCTCCTCCGCCAGCTCTTGATACGATTGCCTTTGCTTTTTTTGCTTAGTTCCCAATACTGCATATTCTAACTCTCCCCCAACGACATGTGACACTCTTTTTCCCCTGGGAATCGAATGCCGTATTGTATTCTTGATAAGTTGGATACCTCGGGCCAAATTTCTATATTCCCCCGCGGTTAATGGGGAATACGGAAATCACTAATAATATGCCGGCAGTATTAGGGCTTATGGCGCAGTACCATGCGGCGGCGAGTGGGGACTATCATAGTAGCGAGCGATAACGTACTATCAGGGACAGCTACGGTTGGGTGTTGAGGAGCGTTTCTTCTTGTCGATTGCTGTGGTGGAGGGGGGTCTATACAAGTATACACATGCCAAACACCCATCGGCTGCGTCACCAAAGTTGTCCATGCAATTGGTCGTAATCTACCCTTATGCCATCTACGCGTCCGATAGTACGTGTTGCTAGTTATTTTGTTTCAAAGCCACGGCTGGGTCGAGGAGAAAGCAGACGAGTGGTAAAATGGAAACATACTGCAGTCTACCCTCCCTCTGGGATAATCTGCAATCTCACTTGAAATCAAGCTTGTATGGCAAGGAGATTTGGATAACCCTTTTTTTTGTGGTTGTGGGAAGCTTGACTTGAAGGAGACGAAAGGCCTAGCTACCTGTCATACCATGATACTTGGTGCAAGAGGAGCGTCCAAAGCCATGTCGATGTACGTGGACGCCATTTATTGCTGTAATCGATTATCTTAAACGCATGAATGGAGAAAGGGAAAAGACCGGTAGACCAGGTTCAACATCCGCCACTCCTCCAGGATCTGAGAATGGAGCAGCTCTTACATTGCCTTTCACCCACCTTCAAAACATGAATGATTGAACTACTACCGGGACCTACAGGGGAAGATGACGGGAGTTTTGATTGATATTGGGCAAGGCCACCAGAGTTTCTGGCCCAACGGGTCCCGACGCATCATATGTCTCTAATGTATCATCATCAAGAAAGGAAACTCTGGCTACGTGAGATCGCAGCATGTAACCTTCCAATCCGACTCTCTCCACTCCCGGGGGAATTACCAAACTTAATTCGCTAAATGCTGCTATCTGACGTGGGATTGAAGCCCGGCAGCCTGCTCCCGTTCCGAGGTTCTTGGGGGAATGTTAAATTTGGTTGGGATATTCCGAAACGAGATTTTCCGGCACGATACAAGTATCAACGGTGGGTTTGTGGATGATAGCACTGGTGTGTGGGGGGGGAGAGGGGAAGGGATCTTGATTTACTTCCGGGCTGTGTGCTCGAGCAGAGTTCGTGCTCCAAAACATGCACGAGGCTTCTATCTATAGAGAGGTATAGTCGTTTGAGGTTGTGTATAGTATTTCCCGTATCATACCGTAGGGGGGTGGAAAATATACTCGTATAAAGCCATAGTGAAATTGCCAAGACCTAGTTTATTTTTGTATTAGTAATCGAATATCTAACCCAAGATCCCCTTTCCCCTGCTCAAACCTAGTTCCTAAAACCTATTTTCTGGACCTTAGACCTTTAATTTATGATATCTGTTGCACCTCTGATATTATTATTGTATGATACTACTGCGTTTTTAAACTGTTCGATGGTGGGTGAGAGAGGGATCCGACTTGGGGCAACGCGGCTTCGAGGGGAGGGGGAAGGAGAGACAAGGGGCGGCGGGCTGGCTGGTGCAAATCACTGTTTGCCGTCTACCAGCACTCTCCGAAACCCTCAAGTATCCAACTTTGCCGCATCGCGAACTGTTGGCTAATAGCGAGGGGCCACGAATTACTGATTGGTCTTTGTTGACTTGGGTTGCACTACTGTACTCGAGTACTCGTGTACTGTACAGTACAGTTCGCAAGCTTGGCTCAAAGAATTTTGTGAGGCAGGTGGGGGAGACATTGTCCTGTACGAGCAGCCTAAAGTTGTAAGCATTTCTTCTCATACATACTCCCACTCGTAAAACTCTCACAGCCAATAGGCATCCCTATCGCTTTCATGGCAACGGAGGATGCCGAGGGGCAAATGTAGGAACCACGATCGCCATCCTCAACCCTGCCTGGATCACCGCACTAGTCAAAGGGAGAAAATTAAAGGAAAAAAAACAAACAAATTCTTTTTTACCCTATTTTTATCCGGGCACGATTGCAGATCATGTCATCGATACCCGGCGATATTGAACATCTTTCAGAGTTGCGGGTAGGATGATAAGGGTTTAGTGTTCCCGCAGTGAGCTCTCCACATTCCCCTGATGGTGAGGGAATGATTGCCACGGGAAGAGGGCTTAGTATGGGGCATGCCTTTAGGCTGCGAGCGGTACTGTACTCGTACAGTGCTCGTACATGCTAGTAATTTACGTTGGCGAGGTGATTAGGACTCAACTCGCACCTCGACTGTTTAAACGAGAGACAGGATTGGCTCAGCTGGGAGGGGAGTGAGGGCAAAATGCAAGACAATAGAAAAAAGTAAGGAAAGTGCAGAGTTGGAGCAAGAAAAGGGGAGAGGGAGAGGGAGGCTCTCCCCCGCTCTGTTATGTACTGTACACCACAGACTACTCGTAACTGCTTTCACGCTTCCCAATGTTGTCATGATTCTCACGATAACCGACGGATTAAAGTCCGATATCGTTGCGCATCATCAGCAACGCTCACACCTTGCAAATCACCCCTAACCTATTCCTAACCCACCACACCCAGACGCGACGAACGGACGAAGCAGAAGTTTGTCCCAAAATTAAAGTCCTCGAGAGTCCCGCCAGCCAGCAAACTTCAATTCCCCATAACCGGGCTTTGTACCCCTCCCTCACCATCCCATCACCATCACCATCACCATCACCACCATCACCACCATCACCATCACCGTCACCATTACCATCATCATCATCATCATCATCATCTTCACCATCACCATCATCATCACCGCGATCCTCTTCACCACCACCATCACCACCATCACCACCTCCTTACCCGTCTCCACTCCACTGAGCTGGACCCTTGTCTTCTCTCCTTGGACAGAAATATTCTGCACCCCCACCCCTTACTCCCCCGGACGGCCATCGCTTCTTAGCTCTTCCCATCGACACATATTTCACTGTATTAGCCCCTATGAGCTCTCCCCTCTTGGCAGCTTAGACATTGCTTACTGGTTAGGGAAGGAGGGGGAAAGAAGGGGGAAAAGATTGAAAATTAAAATATCCCGTCTGATTTAGGAAACTTACCTCACCAGCGGTTATGTCCTATTCCGCTATTTCTCAGACGGCTTCCTACCGTAGAAGGAGCGGCATCGCTTCTTCTATTTCCTCCGATGCCTCCTATCTACCGCCTGAACCGCAACTCCTGGACTTTGAAGCCCCTCCTCTCGCTCTCGACCCTGGATCTCAATCCGCGCGGATGGAGCATTTGCCAACCGATCGTGCGATGTCCATGGTCAAATCTAGCGTTCGTTCGGGCACGTCTTATGAAATGGTCGGCGATAGCTCGGATGAGGAGGGTGATTTCGGGAGCGGAAGGGAGGCCCGGGGGAACGATGCTGCGGGGGGTGACGGGATAACCGATGGCAGGAGAGAGCGTGCAGATATGAATACGAGGGTAGACGAAGCTTTTAGTGGAATGGGCAGAGCGGGAAACGTTGGCTCCGGAGTTCACGTGTCGGATTCCCCTCATTCGAGGTCTGATTCGGCACCGCAAGGGGCCAATCCCTCGGTCAGCCACGGTGACCATTGGACGGAATTGGAGATCGCGGAACATGATTTGAGGCTCGAGTTGAATTTGGATGGCCGTGCGGATATTAATTCTCAACAAAGGGGGGATGTCTCAGACCCCCGGACAGCCAGGGATGCCCACCGCCCCTACCAACACCATATCCCAAGGGGAAGCCGTTCCTCCCATCAATTGCCCCCTCTACCGGTTTCCACAGGTATTTTGGATCCCGACGATCAAGCCTTTGGCCTCACCACGTCGCCGGAAGACGTTCACCCAGCCTTTCGGCACTCACAGTCGTACCCCGAGCTTCCACCCCCCACGGTAGCCGACCGCGTGAGCGAGCAGCAGGAGCACAGACCCGCGACATCTGCAACTAATATTGGGGACTTATTCGAGGATTTTGACGGAGTACATTTCAATTTGGATCACCCAAGTAATCAGTTTTCGGTAGCACCTCCACCACCACCCCCCCACCGGCACAGACAACGTCAGAGCCAACACTCGATTCACCCAACCTCATCACACTCACCCTCCGGTTCTCAAGGTTCATCGAACCTGGTATTCTATCCCGCTCCGGTTCCTGCAATGCTGAATCTTCCCCCCACGCTATCTAAACCTAAACAGACCGCGAATAATAGACACTCCCGTCATATCCCTGACAATGTCGACCTCACCAATAACCGTCGTTCGGTGGTTTATCCCACAGCAGGAGCATCAGGTCCCGCTCCGGACAAAGATGCTCACCGTCGCTCGGTCGCCACCCTGGATCAAGTTGCCAATCGCCGTTCAATAGCTAATCTCCCACCGGCCTTGAGAGCTTCCCAATTCTTCGATACCCAAGCAATACCTCAGATTGAAGTAAAGGAGGATTCCGCAGTTGCTACGCTTGATAGTATTCTCGATGCCTCTGCAAAGGCTCCCCCAGCCGCATTCACCGATCACCCGATTACCGGTGGGGCCGTGCCGTTCGGGCCTAATAAGAATAGGTCTTCAATGCATCTTAGCGCTGGACCAAATAACAATTACCGTAATAGTGTGGCTATAACGGTTAAACTGCATCCTGGAGAGAGCCCTAGGTCTTCTATGGAGGACGAAACTCACGAAGACGCTCGGAGTCATCTTAACCCCGAAACTGGCGAATATTACGACTCCGGTGATCCACGTCGGTACTCCGGGATCTCGGAGGACTTTGTACCGCACCCCGATCCAGATCTCGGCAGTGGTCTACCCACAACCCTACTCGCCGAGCTCGAATCTCGCAAAGCTCAACAGCGGCTTCGAAATCGAACGGCAGCTAGTGCCTTTCCGGGCGGTATTCGCAGCACCCTTCTTCAGCTCGACGCCGTGGCGCAAGTACAGAAGGAGGCGAGATCAAAGAAAAAGACACATTTGGCATGGGAGGACCCTGGTGATGCAGATGAGGAGGATGACCAAGATGCTGATGTCCCTCTTGGATTGCTCTATTCGGTGGCACCCGGTGCACAGAAGCGTCGCGATGAGGAGGTCCCGCTAGGCCTTCTTATGAAGAAGGAAATGGAGGATGCGGAGCCGCTTAGCAAACGCCGAGAACGTCTCCGAGGACAAAACGGACAAGTAGCGCAGCCCCAGCCGAGAAGATTCCTTGACGTACCCGGCTTAGGCGGAGGATCAGAGGCTAGCGCAGCGGACGCAGACGAGGAAGTTGAGGGGGAGACGTTGAAAGATCGGATGAAGCGTCTCAAGGAGAGGAAGGAGTTTGGTACAGGTACCCTTGGGATGGAATTCGCCAGTCCAAGCGAAGGAAATGGTTCTACCGCCAAACAAGAACGAGCGCCCCCGGCCGAGGAAGAAACCCTCGCTCAGCGTAGGAGACGCTTAAAGCAACAAGAAGCGACAAAACGCGAGAGTTCGCTCCTACAACAGGAGGTTCGTAATAGACGGAGCATGATGGACCTCCTCCACCGCGCCAACAATCGCCCGCAAAGCTACTACTCCCAGGCGGGCAGCAACGTGGGATACTTGCAACCGCAACCGCATATGAGTGGGTTGATGGGCAGCCAGTACAATATGCAGATGGGCCGGGGGGTGCCTATGCCTATGCAGATGCAAGCGCCTATGCCGATGAGCATGGGCGGGACTGGGGAGGTTATTCTTGATCCTAAACAGCGGGAAGTGGTGGAGAGGTGGAGGGCCAGTGTTATGTAAATTGCGTTCATTATCTTTCACCGTTCTTGTTAATTGGTTCCTTTTTCCTACCTCTATTTTTTATATCAATTATTGCTTGGGTGCCAATGGGTACACCTTTACCTTAGCTTTTGCCCCCTTTTCTCTCTCTCCCCCGCCTGGCATAACCGGCAAGTTCTTCCATTGCGGCCGGTCCTTCTTTAGGTGCGGTGCATAGCGCGGGTGCAGTTTCTTATGTAAATTCATCAATTACTATCACTGGATCAAGTGAAATGCATGAAAATCATGGGTTCCTCTCATGAAGGGGACAGGAACTTGACGAGTGGCAAGTAGAAGGGAGACGTGCAAACAAAAGTGTTGACAAGCCGAGCCAATCCATCACCACTTTCCCTTCGCATCTCCGTCCTGCTGCCCTTTCACGAGTGGACCCTATACCCCAGCCATACCCCAAGTCCAAGCAAGGTATCATATGACATGATATCATACGATACCAGCTATCACAAGCCCCGCCATCCAACCACCTATTCTAAATCCCACTCTACGCACAAAATTCCCGAGCGCCTTTCGGATCAGCAATCCTGTTGCTAGCCACAAGCAACCACTTCCATCCTCCATCAGCCCCACCAACAGACCCCTACTGCCTCCAAATCACGTGGCACAACTAGCTCCCTCCCCGAAGGGGATTCCAGCAAAGTTGGCCGTGCGGCTCGTGTCCGCTTTCCGTGGGGGGGTGTGGTAGGAAGTTGGGCTTTGGCGTTATGCCACTAGCATGTCCTCGCCAGAGTTTTGGAACATAGCTGGTTACGATTATCCGGGGTGGATTCTTGGTATTTTCCATCCAACGGGAGGACTCCTTTGCCTAGTTATGTCTGTGGAACCTGTCTTTTTACCGCATGAAGGGCAAGTAGGTGTCATTTGATGTGGGGCTTACGGACTGGTGAGTGTTAGTCTTTGTTGGTGGGGGAATATCGTAGAATGGGGGCATCACAGGGGGGGGGGGGGGTCCGCACCGAGGATAAGTTGACATAGTCCGTGATCACAGCGGTCTGGAAGGTAGAGCTTGGATATCCAAGTACGGCCACCTCGTTAAAGGGGTAGGCCGTAATGGAAGTGATGGTGTCTTCTGATCTTTGTCGGCATATAATCCCTGGCACTGCACCTGCTTATGATACCTTTCTAAGGAGGGGGGGGGGAAACGTACTAGAGTGAATTCACCGAGAGTCTGCGAGTGATTTTCTGTGAGTGCGCACGAATAATTGGGGCGAGGGGGAGCGAGGGAGGGGTAGATGCAGCGCTTTTCCGCTGCAGTGCAGGGTTCGAATTGCTCTGCCAATCCACATCTTGCACGCTGTCCTTGGCGGCCGTATTTCGTATAGTCCTTGGGATATTCGGTGCACACTCGGCTTCCAAGGGAGGGTGGAGCTGCCAGAACGCCGCGCTGTTCCGGTTTTCTAAGAAGAGGTTTAAGTACCGGTGGAACCTGTTGGCTCCCATTGGTTCCCGTTGGACCTGTATGTGCATATCCCCATCCCTATTGTTGGGTTTTCTCTCAAGCGCGCGTACACACCGGGTTCCGTGCCCAGGGAAAGGAGGAGCTGCTATAGTAACGCTCTTGTCAAGGAGAGGACGGTTTCCCTTCCTGGAAAACAGTGCTGGTGGTGGGTTAGTCCCCGTGGGCGTGAATGGATTTGCAGCAGCTATTACGATATTCCCTTATGCAAGTCCTCGGTTTGTACTCTCCTCGCATGATACTAGCCGTGTGAGCTACAGTGTACTCTAGCGTGATACCTCAAACCCTATTCTACGTGACGCTACAAGACATTATCTACTTTTGAGAACCCCCTATTCACTGCAGTCTTTACACAGAATCGATACTGTGCTGAATGGAAGCTTCGAAGGATGGTTTCAAAGATAAGCGGCGGGTGGTTAAGGGAGTGTGGGTCCCTTTTGAATGGTATTGGTAATGAGAGTACGAGTAGAAAGGGTAAACAATAATATGAACGAGTGTGGTGGCCGGGGGAAGGTGACCATGAGCCTGATATATTCTACAGATAATACAACAAGGTGCGGCTTCAACCACTACTTTCCATTTGTATAAAAGAGAGTAACGATAGTGAGAGAGAGAAAAGACCGACAAAGTAGGAAGGAAAAAACAATTTCGCAACGTCGATGGCCTCATTCACTTGAAGGAAAAGAAGAAAGAAATACAGGACTTGTTCTAATCTCTTCGCATCCAAGCTCCCAAACCTCTGTGGAGAAACTTTCGTCCTCCTCCCTTGATACTAGCGTGCAGAGAAGGAGCTTTCCTTTCCACATCACTAGTCTGTAACACTGTTCTCTGAAGAAGAAAGAATCTTTCCTCCGACAAAACACCTCGGGTCAGGAACCTGCTTCCAGCAGGAGACAAGACAGAACATTCGAAGCACTTCCGAGAGCATGCTGCGCAGCAACTCCTGATTTTCGACAAGTAGTACCCTTAGTGCCGGCACCGACCCCCCGAGCCGAAGTATGCCACGCAGCACTAGATGTTTCCAACGGCAGCAACCTACTACCGGTAGAGTGACAATTGGCCAGGGAGCCAGGCAGCAATGCGGGGAAAAAGGACCCAGTTACAAACGCCAAATTTGGCAGCCGTTTGCTTTCCCCCCTACTATCCCACGCGTCCTCTTTCTCACAGCCGATGATGTTTTTTCTTCCCCCATTTTTCCCACTCCTTTGTTTGCTCTGCACCTATTACATTTTTTCGGGAAAGGGCGGCGGTTCAAAATACAGCGAAATTATCCATGGTGAATTTGGAAAAATGATGTTTGTAGCACGTCAGACACGGCGACGCCCAGGCACCTGCAGATGTCAAAGAGAGGTGTAAGAGTACGAGTGCTAAGCCGGGCATGTAAGGTCAAGAGTGGGGGGACTGCTTAGTAAACAACCCCTATAAAAAAGCCAGAGCATTCTGTAAAGGAGTAGGCAATTACCGGTAGCTTGAAAGTGATAGAGAAAGGTAATAAATATCTGTTGGTTTTGCAGGGCTATTAGAGCACCGGAGGGGCGATATTGGGTGCGGGGCTAGAGTGTCAGGGCTGCACTTAGTGGAAAAGCATTTCCGGGACACAAGACACTTTGCCAGGTGTTGTGCTTCAGGGAGTTTCCGGTGCCTGCAGGAGGCCCCCGGGAAGTAACCCCTTCGCCCTATAATCTGTTTCTAGGGTTACAATTCATCGATATTGTCTTTTTTATATCATTTATGCACCCCCGACGGATATAGCCGTGGGCTTTATTCCAGGACTACGGGGTTTCGTAAATGAGTTTGTAAAGGTCACCGCAGGATCGCGGGTGGGGCAAAGTGGCGGTGTTGCGCCACTTGGTTTAAGGGGTCTGAACTTTCCTCAACGCATGCCTACTGCGGCTAACCGTGCCAAGGTCCCCACGCTTCGAAGGACGCTAAGCGACCTCCAAAGTAGGTGGCACTCCGAGGGAGTGCCTAACAGTTCAATGATAGTAACAGTTCAACGATATTTTTTTACATGCAGCAAGAAAAGTGAATAACAGAATGCCCAATTTCACGACATAATAGCTTTTGCAGCCTTTGCCTTTTATTTTTCTCCTTCACAGCCTTTCTCATATCCTTTGAAACTTCCTGCCACTCCCGCTTAACCTTGTTGTCCGCCATTTTCTGGATATAAACAAGCATGCATTGAGCTTTTTCAAGCTCCTTCTCGACCCCATCCTGTTCTTTTTGAAGAACCATTGCCCATGCCTCATGAGCATAGAGGACTCCACCCTTCTGGAGTGAACAGCGGCTTTGTCTTTGGTGTGCGGTCCGGGCACTGGCAAGCTCCGCTGCTTTTGTGTTCTGTAGGTCTTCAAGTGCAAGACCTCCACTATATGCTTGGGCTAAGCTTCCCTTTAGATATTTCTGAATACTAATTCGTGACGAGGGAGAAAGGTCTTATACATCAGTCTGTAGTGTGTTGGCATGACGCTTGAGGGAGCATATCGTTCTGTCACAAACTGTGACTAAGAAGAGGCAGATTTCACATAACTCGGAATTCCAAGTTATACGTATAAAGAGGTTTCACATAATGCGCAATAGCGCATTATAGGTTATTATGTTTAGCTGTTCGTGACTCACAGTTGTGAGTCACATGAGGTTATGATTTTCGCACATGACTCATAATTATGAGTCATGGGTTTCACTCAGGTAACGCGAGTTGCGCACCTGACTAGGTTATGATGTTTTAATTGGTTTTAGGCATGTTGCGCAGCGACTTATAGGAGTTGTCTGATGGATTTTACATGACTCATAGTTATGAATCACAGGGTTCGCGTGACGCAAGGTATGAGTCACACGAGGTGAAGAGCGAATATATAAAGGGGTCGATAGGACTCCAGGTATGAGCTCTTCACATGTTCTTCTTGTTTATTTCCTACCTTTAAGTTATTACAATAAAACCTACCTTTACGTTCTTTAAGATTTATCTTAAGAAACCCGAGAAGTGTCTTTCCTCCCAAGCGGGAAAACTATTTCTCTGTCACAAACTGTGACTAAGAAGAGGCAGATTTCACATAACTCAGAATTCCAAGTTATAGGTATGAAGGGGTTTCATATAATGCGCAATAGCGCATTATAGGTTATTATGTTTAGCTGTTCATGACTCACGGTTGTGAGTCACATGATGTTATGATTTTCGCACCTGACTCATAATTATGAGTCATGGGTTTCACTCAGGTAACGCGAGTTGGACACTTGACTAGGTTATGA